TCTTCGTGTGTGAGCATGGCGCTGCTTTCTCAAACGCGGCCGCTGCAGCGAACGAAGTCACCTTCGCGCTCTCTGAAAGTCAACACCAGCTCTGGACGTATGAATCATCCGGAACAATATATAAACGACCAAGTATCGCAATGCACGGAGATGCGACTTTCAAAGAACACCCTCGCACCTTTCACGCCATCTCACCAGTCATAACAAAAACACCCTGAAATAATGATTCATTGATACGTAGGGTTTAATGTCCCAGAACCACCATGTGATAATGAAAAACGCTGTAGTGGAAAGCTCCAGAAATTTCGACCACTTGGGGTTCTTAAACACGCACCCAGATTTGAGCACACAGGCCTACAGCATTTTTGTCTCCATCGAAAATGCCCCCCCCCCCCCCCCCGCAGTGGTGGTCTAATGGCTAAGTTACTCGGCTGCTGACCCGCAGGTGGCGGGATCGAATCCCGGCTGTGGCGACTGCATTTTCGATGGAGGCGAAAATGCTGTAGGCCCGTGTGCTCAGATTTGGGTGCACGTTAGAAAACCCCAGGTGGTCGGAATTCTCGGAGCCCTCCACTACGACATCTCTCATAATCATGTGGTGGTTTCAGTACCTTAAACCTCACATATCAATCAGTCCATCGAAAATCTATTGGGACTTGATCACGCAACCTGCGGCTCAGCAGCCAATTACCTTAGCCACTAGACCGCCACGGTGGGACAAAAAAAGAACACCGTGAAATGATTCATCTCTGAGTACCGCCAACAAGTTCTGCATACAACTACAGGTTTTCCCGCTCTCTTTAATCCAAGTGCCAGCCTAAATAATCTGCCCGCCATTGAAATAATCTGATCGCCGAGCTATTTAATTCATGTGCCAAACATTTAATCCAAGCACCAACATATTTAATCCGAATGCCAACTTACTCAGGCCGTGTGCCATTGAGTTTAATCCAAGTGCCACCATATTTATTCCGATTGCCAATGACTTTAATTCAGGTGCCAGTCAGTTTAATCCATGCGCTAGAAACACACAGTTAGCCACTCTATATAGTATAAATGTCAGAATAACGTAAACATGGCGTCACAGCAACAACTTTTCCCTCGGCTATACTTGGTAGCGCTTATGAAATGAAGTGCGCAGTGCGACTTCCCCTTAACATTTTGGTGTCATAGCTTCCAAATAAAAACACAGTCAGTAGTAATTGCATGTATGGGTACTTAAATGTATTTGCTCATAGAGTCCATGTTAGTCTTTATTGAATTGCTACTGCTTCATTCCAGTTAACCATCTACACCATCGCATATGCATAGATTCGTGTTGTCTGCTGAGCAGACGGCATTTGGCTACTTATGCGCTGGAGCTGCAGTCACTAAATTGACCACCTGGGGTTTTTCACCCTGCACTCACATCGATGTACACGAGCCAGCGCGAACTAACAACTGCCTCAGTTACTTCTTCGTGTGTGAGCTCACTAAATTAGTACCCCAGGTACTAATTTAGTGAGCAGTCGTCTGCTCAGCCCAGGGAGAACAGTGACCGACAGATGATATCCATTCGTTCTTGAAATCAGAAATAACCACTTAAAAATACCAAACTTGCATTTATTCGGGTTCATGTGGAAATAAGTTGTTATAAAAGCATCAAAGTAGATACTCCGGTTTTCATGTAACAGACGACGCTTAGTGTAGCTGAAGCGTGTTTACTTGAAACGTGTGTTTTTATACGGGAACATTTGCAGACGAAGAGAGAGTTTTGCTTGAAGTCATGGCTGGACGCAAACGAGGACCACACTTTAAGAACCCCGCCGCACTTCGTCGAAAAAACAGCAGAGTATCGGTGGTCGACAGGGCTAGGATTGTGGGCGTTTACAGGCGTGGCGGTGACTTAAAGCAACTGGCCGACGCTCTAGCCATCAACATTAAAACAGCAAGATCGATTGCCGCTACCGACAGAGAAACATCTAAGCATGGTGGGTGTTCAAAAAAGAAGTTTGGAGATGACGTCGTGAGTACTTTGAGACGAATTGTCGACAAAAACTGTACATTTACATTGAAGCAAATAAAGGAGGCCCTGGAAAAAGAAATGCCAGGAGTAACAATCAGTGCAAGCACAGTCGACCGCTTGCTGGATGTCCACTGCTACTCGATGAAGGTAGTGACGCAGAGGCCCACAGATCACAACCGTGACGATATCAAGCACAGCCGCATGCTGTACGCCCAATGGCTGCAGTCTGATGGACCGCGTGTTTGCCGCTTCGATTTTGATTAGACTAACTTCAATATCTGGTGTTCCGGGAACTTTGGCAGGGCAGCTAAAGGACAACCAGCTGTGCACATGACCACAACGACAAAGGGAGTGAACTTGAACATTATAGCATGCATGTCCGCAAATGAAGTTATTTACTGGACTGTGGTGGACAAAGTTCATTGGGTAGTTTTTAATGACTTCCTCGGTGATGTTTCGGCCCGCGTAGAACGTGATGAGCCAAATACCGAAGCTGTATTCCTTTTTGATAATGCACCTGCTTACGCTCGAGCAGAACAGGCGGCTTTGGCTAACTCCATGCACTCTATTAAGCGCCTGCCAGCGTACAGTCCCTTCTTTAACCCTATAGAAGAAGCCTTCTCGAATATCAAGTCACACGTGAAGGCCTATTTGAGCGAACGTCGTAATTTAGTTTTAGTGATACTGCAAGGCATGGCGAAAAAGGAGCACAGGCGTTCTTTGCTGCTGGAGGCGGCTCGCCACTCCATGCAACAAATACAGCGCGTGGACTGCGCGGCCTTTGATCGGCACAATTTCTCTTTCGTTCCGGCCGCTTTGCGTGAAGATGTCTTGTGAACATCCATCTCCGAGCCCTATGAGACAGTTCTGTTTTAATAAATACACTAACTTGTGCCTATGTTGCATTTCTTGAATAATTAGTAGTAATCACTCTTGTTTTCCTGTATATATATATATATATATATATATATATATATATATATATATATATGTGTGTGTGTGTGTGTGTGTGTGTGTGTGTGTGTGTGTGTGTGTGTGTGTGTGTGTGTGTGTGTGTGTGTGTGTGTGTGTGTGTGTGTGTGTGTGTGTGTGTGTGTGTGTGTGTGTGTGTGTGTGTGTGTGTAGAGATAGAGAGGGGGGACAGAACAAATAATTTACTAATTTAGTGATTGCACTGAATTCGCAAGCTTCCAATGTGCGATGAGAGGCATAAAGCCGCGCAAAAAAAACGCGTACACAAAAAAAGAAAGCTAGGCCCAAGGTCAGTTGCGTGTTATTATCATTTTGTTTCCTCTGTGTTCGTTTTATTGCATTCGTCAAGTATGTCACAAAACTAACAAGCTAAACGAACAATCAGTACTGTTCGTATCATCAGAGACAATTAACTTTGTTTGAATAAAAAATAAGAGCATACAATAATGTAAAATAAAACTTTTATTGCCACATCAGGATGATCAGTTTACGTTTTATGTTCACTACAGGAAAAAAACATATTGGAATTATCTCTAATTCACAATGCGTGCCGCTTGACGGCTTCCTAATTTCTTGATTATGTAGCTGTCTTTGACCCATCACTGCCCGCGGCCATGCTTTTAATCTCTTAGTATGCGTTCTGGCACTCCAATAAACACATTGTGTTTTCGCATTACATGACCTGTCCTGGTAATGTAATGTTGTAGTGTGTACCAAAGCCAATTATGAGCTTCAGTGCCGGATACTGAATTTCATTGCAATGTAAAATATTCAGTAATATGTTCCTGCGTTTTTTTTTTCGTTTTCATTCAAATTATTTCACCTGGGCCAAGCACTCATTATACAAACTTGCGCATAGCAAATTATAAGCACTCCAAACATGGCTTGAGCGAACCACGGCAGTAATTTTTTTTTAAGAATACTATCGGCGAATACAAATAATAATGATGAATTCTACCTTCCGACTATTGTCTTTTATACTGTAGGAACTGCATTTCAATTGCATTGCCGTTTTTACGCCCCGTTTTCTGGTTTTTGTGCGTGGATTAAACTGACTGGCACCTGAATTAAAGTCATTGGCAATTGTATTAAACACGGTGGCACTTGGATTAAACTCAATGGCACGTGGCCTGAGTGAGTTGGCGCTTGGATTAAATATGTTGGCGCTTGGAATAAATGTTTGGCACATGGATTAAATAGCTCGGCGTTCAGAATATTTCAATGGCGTGCAGATTATTTAGGCTGGCACTTGGATTAAAGTGAGCGGAAAAACCTGTAGTTCACCGTTACTTAGGAAAAAAAAATGACCCTACATTTCCGAAGTTATTCGTGAGGAAATTCGAATGCATTTCTTGCGCCGAGAGAATGCACCGTTACCGTCAGACACTCGCATTCACGAAGTTCTGCCAACGCCTTGAGAGGAGGCCCGCCAGCGAATGGTTGAGAGGGAGGCGCTAGTGGACAGGAGAGTGCGGCGCAGGGAGGCGGGAGAGCGAATGACGAGAGAAGGAGCGCCGAAGCACGGCGCCAACCCTGCGGTTGCTCCGGTTGCTGGGGGCGAGGATAAGCGCGCGCCCACAGCTGTTGCCATGGGAGAGGGAGTGAGGGCAGAGAGAACACCTGCCGGCGCGCGGCCACTGTCGCGGACGCCACCACCGGATGCTTGACATAGCCCGACCAACCTCCTTAAGCCCGAATAAGAAATGCATTCGCATTTGAAAATGCGCTTCGTGGTCTGGTCGGTTCGCGCTGCGGAATGAGAAGTCGTAGATTCGACTCCCGGAGACGGAACTTTTCCGAATACGTTTTTTTTTTATTTGCCATCGCTAGTGTACATTTCGCAACGTCACATCTATGATGGAAAAACGTCAATGAAGCCGTGGTGGATGGACCCCAGCATCCTACATTTTGGTGTTAAAAAGCCGTGCGTGCACTCCTTCAATATACAAGCTTCATTTGATATGCTGATAAGAATCTACTTTTGAGAAATTGCCGAGTAACAGTCACGACATTTTGTGCACAGATTGTTATGGCGTTGTACAGCGGTGCGTCCGGACCATTCGCTGGGATGATAATTGTGGCCATCTGTCTTCCGTGGACCAACACTAAGGTAAGCTTGTACAAGACCCGAACCAGACTTCTCTGAATAGATAGATAGATAGATAGATAGATAGATAGATAGATAGATAGATAGATAGATAGATAGATAGATAGATAGATAGATAGATAGATAGACAGACAGACAGACAGACAGACAGACAGACAGACAGACAGATAGATAGATAGATAGATAGATAGATAGATAGATAGATAGATAGATAGATAGATAGATAGATAGATAGATAGATAGATAGATAGATAGATAGATAGATAGATAGACAGACAGACAGACAGACAGATAGATAGATAGATAGATAGATAGATAGATAGATAGATAGATAGATAGATAGATAGATAGATAGATAGATAGATAGATAGATAGATAGATAGATAGATAGATAGATAGATAGATAGATAGATAGATAGATAGACAGACAGACAGACAGACAGACAGACAGACAGACAGACAGACAGACAGACAGACAGATAGATAGATAGATAGATAGATAGATAGATAGATAGATAGATAGATAGATAGATAGATAGATAGATAGATAGATAGATAGATAGATAGATAGACAGACAGACAGACAGACAGACAGACAGACAGACAGACAGACAGACAGACAGACAGACAGACAGACAGACAGACAGACAGACAGATAGATAGATAGATAGATAGATAGATAGATAGATAGATAGATAGATAGATAGATAGATAGATAGATAGATAGATAGATAGATAGATAGATAGATAGATAGATAGATAGATAGATAGATAGATAGATCTGCAGCCTTCCATGTCCACAATAGTGCTGAGGCATGTGTGAGGCCCCTTCAATTCCACTTCCTCCCAAAAGATACCATTCCTTTTAGGTTTACTGTACAGTATTACTTCTGCACCTAATGGTTTTTTTTTCTTCTTTTTTGTGTTCTTTGTTGGTTTTGAAAAATGGGTGGACTATCTATGCTACCTGAAAGAACAAACTCTTAGTTGATAGGTTTCAGAGTGGTATGTGATGTTTCGTTTCGTTCCGTTTTATAACGATGTTTCGTGCTTGCTGCTGTAAGAAATGTCAAATCATAATTATCACAGCACGATACATTCATTTGCGTAAACTAATTAGCATTTTTAGGAGTGTCGAGTTACTGTGAAGGCCTGTAGCAAAAAAAATGCTGCCCCTCTTTCATATTTTGCACGCAATACTAATAGCAGTATGATCTACATGCTTCGCTTAACTGCTGGTGTAAGCTGCAGGCAAGACATTTTCGTACATTTTTTTCGGCGTTATATAATGCGCGCAAGATGAAAAATCATTGCAAATGCATTATGATTGAACAGAATTCACGGTCTGTCACTTCATTTTTCGCTTCTGTTGTCTCAGCTCTGCTCCACTCAGTTAACCCAGTGAACTGCAAACAGACTATTACTATGTCTGAAATTTTGCCTCACTATCATCGCATTGATCACCATGCTTTAGCTTAACCACTGAATTTGACGTCTTGTAGTCCCACCCTGGGGACATTGCAAGAAAACAAATTTTCAGGAGTCACATAGTCATTTACAGGATCATCGAACGATGTAGTAACGCGGAAAAATAGTCATAAAGGCATAACAAATGAACAAAATCAGGCACATTTTATTTTTCTAAAAAGCTTGCACGTCAACTAATATTTTAGTTTCAAGATGTGCCCCTTCTTTGTTGCGACACACTCGAAGAATTGTAAATCTTTTTTTTTTTTGTAAATGACACAGTTGCAGTCTGTAGGTATCAGTCATATACACCCTTTCGAGAGTGCATTCGCGCTGTTAAATAAATTTGGGTTTCGGAGCTCAATGTTGATAATGCCTGTCTCCACAAACCATTGGATGACGCAATAAGCTACAGCATGCTGCAACTTGAGCATAATTGCTATCTATAGAACTGTATTACTATGTCTCAAGCGGGCAACAATTGTGTAGTACGATTAGGATACCATTTTTTTAATGTAAGATATAAGACAAACAACAATAAAATGCCAGTTTTATATAAAAAAAGGAAAGAACACCATTAAGATTGTGTTTCATCTAAAACACGTGAGCAAGAAACTGACGCAAAATGAAACTAATTAGGCATGACAGTATTATAAGCCTCTTCTGTTGGGCTGGTTGTTACGTGTTTATTTTCCCTAGGCAGCGTGTTTAGTGCTGGTCAATCATTTATAATCGTGCAACAGTGTATTTCAGTGATGCTTCGTGATCGCAGGGCACCGCAATAGCTACATCAGCCGCTTTCGCTTTTGAGCTCTGGCAGACAGTGGGGCGGACGTTGTCCGGGCTGGAACCTCCGAGGATGAACACTACGCTTCTACACTGCGCCAACAATGCTACTGCGCTCTGTTCTAGCGAAGGCCTTGCTTACGCATCTCAACCGGTGCCGGGCACCGCTAATCTGACATGTGGTCGAACAGGAATGCCTGAAGTCAGGTTCGTACCAGGAGCCAGCTACGTAGATCCGCAGTCTATTTCATTCCAACACATCAAGTGCTATACTCTCGCCACTAGATTGCAGCATTAGTTGTTGACGTAGAAATGGTCAAACGGCTATCGTACTTCAGAGCGACAACAGCGATGCCTGTGTGCATCGTTAACCATACCGGGTGCCCCTGTAGAAGTCTTGTCAATACCTATAGGTCAGCTGTAATCCTGAGTTGCGGCCGGAAGAGCATCGTTGTTGTTTTTTTCAGTATATAACGGTGGGCTACAAGATGATGACACGGCAAAACGAAGCCTTAATTGCCCAGGAGTCTCCCAAATTGCTGCATTGGACCCCTAGACTTGTCGGTATGCCATTTCACGTTGTAAATTACGTAATTAAGCCTAAGCTTAATGTAGTACCGCGCTTGGCGCTTTGATCGCTCAAACACTGTTGGCGCTACCAAAATTCTACACACGAGGACAAAGCTTGCGAATGTTGGCAATCGCGCATTGGTTAGAAATGTGTCATTAGCGACTATAAATACCATAGTTCCTCTGACGGTCGCTCCGCGTGTTGGGCGTGTTGTGTCTACTTTAGCTGCCCCACAAAACGCACTTAAATATCTCGCCTACGCCACTGCGCGCTGCGTGAAACGTGTCACACTGTGGAGTGATAGTACAAAAATGCTTTTAGATGCGGAGCATCTTATACTCGCGCCTTGTAGTGCGCCGTCCGCACCGCTTCTCGAACATTCGACAGCTGACGCGCGCGCATGCGCCGTCGCGCCGTCGCCCACTCTTCCACCATCTGTGCATCCCTTCCTCCTCTACACACCGCGCGCGCTTCACTCCTCCACCATCTGTGCACCCTTCCTCCTCTACACACCGCGTTCGACATCTACAATTCTCCTGATTCTCCAGTGGACGCGCATGTGGCGTCGCGCTTCGAGAACATTCAACAGCTGACAGTGCATGCGCCGTCATGCTGTATGTATACTCAAGGTCGGCGCTCGCTCGCTCAGTTGCCGCTCGTCGGTTGGTTTGTACGGCGCGTCGACGGCCAAGGTCGCGGTGAAATGAATTCCAACGAATCCACAAACACAATGATCGACGTCCCTTCGACCAGCGCCGCCCTTTCGCATACGTGTGTACGTGTTCACTCATTTAACACCCCCTCCTACAACCACGTTAACCAATTTAGCCATCGACCCAAGTAAGTCGCAATTTAACACCCCATTTCACAACCACGTATGTACACGTGTACCGTATAATCGTGTACAGCACGTGTGCGGTGGATGGATGGATGGATGGATGGATGGATGGATGGATGGATGGATGGATGGATGGATGGATGGATGGATGGATGGATGGACGGACGGATGGACGGACGGATGAATAGATGGATGAATGGTTGAATGGATGAATAGATGGATGAATGGACGGGCGGATGAACGAACGAATGGACAGACGGACGGATGGATGGACGAACTAATGGACAGACAGATGGATGAATAGATGGATGAATGGACGGACGGATGAACGAACGAATGGACAGACGGACGAACGGATGGACGAACTAATGGACAGGCGGATGGATGAATAGATGGACAGACGGACAGATGGATGGACGAATTAATGGACAGACGGATGGATGGATGGATGGATGGATGGATGGATGGATGGATGGATGGATGGATGGATGGATGGATGGATGGATGGATGGATGGATGGATGGATGGATGTCCCGCTGCGGTGGTCTAATGGCTAAGGTACTGTGCTGCTGACCCGCAGGTCGGGGGCTCGAATCCCGGCTGCGGCGGCTGCATATCCGATGGAGGCGGAAATGTTGTAGGCCCGTGTGCTTAGATTTGGGTGCACGGTAAAGAACCCCAGATGGTCGAAATTTCCGGAGCCCTCCACTATGGCGTCTCTCATAATCATATAATGGTTTTGGGACGTTAAACCCCACATATCAATCAATCAATGGAAGGATGGATATGGATGTACCCTTTAGATCGTGCGGTGGCTAGAGCCACCAAGCTGTAATACTTATTGAACGAAAAACTAGAGTTTTTTTTTTCCTTTACATAGTGAGGTTGAGGATTCGTACTTTGCATTGAGGGGTTTAATTTTCACTCGTGCCTTGACTTTAGCCACCAATCAGATAACCTCCTTCTAGTTAATTCTACCCGCTTAAAGTCTATTTTGCCCCCCCCCCCCCCGGTCCATAAACCCCAGTGCTTTGAAAAACTCTGCGCCATCATCCTGAACTACAGGGTGAAGCCCTTTACAGAACACTATCAAGTGTTCGGCATTTTCCTCTTCCTCTTCACACGCACTGCATACCGTGTCGACCCCTTCGTATACGGCGTGATATGTCTTGGTTCGCAATACTCCCGTCCTGGCTTCAAACACTGGAGAACTACCCCGAGTATTATCATAGATCCTTTCCTTGGCAATTTCCTGCTTAAAAGTTAGATAGATCTCTAGTGCGGGCTTCTTAATCATGCCAATTCTCCACATATCGGTCTCAGCTTACTTCACCTTCTTCTTTACCGATAATTTTTTGGTTTAGCTTCCTGCTGCTTTCTAACTATTTACCAGTCAATTTTCTGGCTCGCTTCCTCCATTTTGTATCGACATTCTTTATGTACAAGTAGCTGAATACCTTCCTAGCCCAACACTCCTCCCCCATTTCTCCCAATCACTTCTCAAATTTCATCTTGCTGCTAGCTTCCCTGCCCTCAAATGGTGTCCATTTCACATCTCCTTGTACTCCCTGAATTGGTGTATTCCCGTGGGCTCCTAAGGCAAGCGTACCTAATCCACTTTGCTTAATTTCTAATCTTGCTTGAACTTCTGATTTCATGCACAAGACAACATTTCCGAACGTCAGACCAGGAACCATGACCCCTTTCCATACTCCTCTCACAACATCATACCTATTGTAATTCCACTGTGCCCTGTTTTTCATTACCACTGCATTCCTGTTACCTTTAGTTGTCACGTATATTTCGTGTTCCCTTATGTACTCGGTCCCATTGCTTATCCATACGCCCAGATATTTGTATTTATCTGTTATCTCTAGCGTGTTCTCCTGTATTCTAACCTCACTACCTTCATTGTCATTAAAAATCATGACTGCTGATTTTTCCTTACTGAATCTGAAATCTAACCTATCTCCCTCATTACCGCAGATGTCCATCAATCTCTGCGAATCTTCCTTGTTGTCGGTCATTAGCACTATATCATCTGCGTACATCAATGCTGGTAGTGCCTGTTCAATGAGTTTTCCTTGTTTGACGAAAGAGAGGTTGAAGCCCAGTCCACTTCCGTCTAATTTGGCCTCTAATCCTTGTAGGTACATCATAAATAATAAGGGTGGCAGAGGACACCTCTGCCTAAGCCCCCGTTTTACCTCTGCAGGCTTGGATACCTGTTTTTCCCACTTTATAACTACCTTGTTACCTTTATAGATATCATTTAAAAGATTAGTGACTCCATCTTCCACGCCTAGTGTGTCCAGTATTCCCCACAATTCCTCTTGAAGCACGCTATCGTACGCTCTCTTGATATCCAAAAATGCCAGCCACAGGGCCTTGGGTTCTTTTTCTGCTATTTCGATGCACTGCGTCAGTGAGAACAGATTGCCTTCCAACCTCGTGTGTTTCCGAAACCCATTCTGCAGTTCCCCCAGCACCCCCTCATCCTCTCTTCATACCTGCAGTATTTCCTTTATAATCTGCATCGCCAGCCTGTAGACCACTGATGTCACTGTTATAGGACGGTAGTTGCTTTTGTCAGCTTTGTCCCCCTTTCCTTTATAGATCATGCTCATCCTGCTAAGTTTCCATCCATCGGGAACTTCACCATCGATTATTATTTTGCTCACTGCCTCTCTCAAAGCCTGCTTAGACTTCGGACCTAATGTCTTTATCAGCATAATTGGAATGCCATCTCGGTCTGTTGTGAGTATAAACGATTGCGCGCGCCTCCACGCTGCTCCTCCTCTGAGGCTTCAGTGCGCTCCGTAGGCGCCGCTCGCCGCTCATCACGCTTTCCTATTCCAGCCACTCTACTATAGTGAAACTGCCGCGTGGCTAGCGTCAAGCCTGGCCGTGCGGCCGTGCGCGTGGCCGCACCCTAGCATGGCCGTGCGCGTGGCCCTGTCAAGCGCAGCCATCTTTGGTTTTTCTACCAGTGTTGACAGCACACAGAGTGTTGGCTGGAGTTGCGAGTAGGGTTAGTTTTTTTCCTGTAGTTTCACACTGTACGCCCCCCGCAACAGGTTTGGGCGTTTTGAGCAGAAAAGTGTAATGCAAGCACCGTGCTCTCAAGATTATGTCTGCCAAGATTTCAAACGCTGCGTGTCGCTGAAAGATGTAAAATTACTGACTGGACGCCGCTTGGCCTTCTTCTTGTGGGGGCGTGTCTTATGATGGAGGGTGTGACGTGCAACAACAAATGACGCAGCTCTTACGTCGCTCCTGCGCGTACACATTGCTGCTCTGACGTCACTCACTGTACACTCCTAACCAGGTTCTGGGTAAATACTCGATGTATACTGAAAATGAGATGAAAAATGTCCCGCTCGCTGGTTATATCCAGCACCTTAAGCAGAACCCACTTGTGAGCGTAGCACGTAATCTGCTGCAGAGCGGATGAATCAAAGCCGTGAGAAATAAAACCTATAAAAAAAACGTGAGTACTTTTTATTTATTTTCATTTTTGAATCACAGGGAAATGCTATACACACTTATCGGCCTCCGTTTAGCATGCATTCGTCTTCTGGCGGTTCTCGTTTGGTGCCACCTTAACGTCGCTTGGCGTGTGTGTGTGTGTGTGTGGTTTTTTTGTGTGCGTAGTTTCTGACAGCAACTTCAGCGGTGTGATCCGATGTATCACGGTTAAGAGACATGATCCGTGCCAGCCCCTCCGAACTTGCGCGCAATTAAGGGTCCGTCACTCAAACAGGCAATACACTATCGAGAACGCCCAAACGACGCAGCATGGACGGCGGGGCTCAGGCTGGTAATGTGCAAATGACATTGCGTGTGCATGACGTGTTGATTTGTATGCGTCATGTGATCATACGGCTCCGGACCGAAGTGGGCATCCAAGGTATTGGGCTTGCGATGACTGCATGCAAGGGGTGAGTGGCAATGGTTTTACATCGCATCACGGTTTGGTGCCCGCAACGAAGTAGTTGTAGATATCACCGTGACGCGAAGCTCTTCATTGGGCACGCAACAATTTCCAGTGCTTAACTGCAATTTCTTGTGTGGCGTGATGAAGGGCCCTTTAAGAAGTAAATTGCAAGGAAAACAGAAGCCGCATACACCTCACATTTCTCTTTCATTTGATGCACACTATCCTATCAGCTGACGGCTTTGCACTTTTTCGCATTTATTTTCTACGTACCCGCGGATGCATTGTTCTTTTCCCAGCGCTACTTGTATGCCTCCGGGGTCGCTTTTCAATTTCTTCGGGACACTGGGCAACCATGTACACAAACTCCTCGTCACGTCTATGAACGCCACTCTTTTGCGCTTCTCCCGTGTTTACATCACGCATTTAGGGCTGCTGAAATAGCATCTTTTCCTCTCGTCATCATCTCCTCCTCATCCCACCACTCACGCGATGTCAGCGCTATGGCGTATGGTGGCCGCCGCGTCCCATTTAGCTGCTGCTAGCGGTTGTTTTTCAATAGTTAGTTGAAGAGCCCAAAGACATGGTTAAACCGCATACAGTTCGGAAAGGGCAACGTTGTCCTGGGACACGAGTAACGGCCTCAAACCACGCAAGAGAATAAAAATTTGAGCTTTAATAGCGTTCATATCGGTGCTGATTTCGAAAATAACCATTTAAAGGTACTTATAGTCATTCAGGCATGAGCGCCAAAATACAGGCATTTATAGGCACTATAAGAACACTATTAAAGCCCTTCTTAGTCTCTAATTCATGCTCTTATATCAAAACGACATGATAGGAGCGCAAGGAAGAAAACAGTCATTTGCCTAAAATCTGGTCTCTATTGATGACAGACAAGCCAACACACCACCAGGTGTTCTCAGGGAGGTTTTTAAAAAATTGCTGAAGTGAAATTCTTGCCCACGATTGAAGCCTTGCCAACAGTATGACGGTGCCTGCGGCAGTCATCTTACTAGGGGCATGATGAGCTGTTGTCGATCGGCGATTGCGAAGGAGCGTTTTCCTCGCACGCCCAACGAGTTTAACGTGGCAACCTCTTCGGGTAAGATAGTGCTCAAAGTGGGTCCTTGAGTTACCAGTTTTCTTTAATAAGCCTTGAATTCAAGGCAAATTTTATTGGAGATCAAGTCATCGATACTAGTCTCCGCGGAATATTTCTTCGGAAACAACAACCTTCTATTTTCAATAAACGTAGCATTTACACTAACAAATCAGAGCCACTTGATGTCCAAGTTGGCACCACCAGAACATAGCTTGTTTCTGATATCTTTGGAGGTCCGCAAGGCTGACTTAACTATATACTGCTGGCAAAGCGTTGCGGGCGCTTCCACTCCAGCATTTTTTTTTAAAACCTCCTTGGGTATTCTAGAAACCACGGGAGTGTGTTACTAAACTGCATCGCTGCTCTTCCTGGTGCTTTAACGTTTAATTTCGAGCACGTGTACAGTGCAAGCGCGCTCTTCTGTATTTGGCGATTGGCTCATTCCATTGCTTCTTCTATCGCTTCAACCGCGCGTTCATCGGAAGCGGGAGGGAGTGCAATGTCTCACTTTTGCGGCAGATGTGGAAGCGGACAGCGATGATGTAGTGAAAGACGCTTCAGTTGCACGAACACGATTTCTCCGCGATATCATCACCCCGGGCGATTCCACGCGGCTGCGTAAGTGACACCTTACGCATCGCGTGCATGTTCCAGTATCAATTCTTTCTAGTATTCACTCGGATTAAACGAGCGCACAAGCAGATTCAACGGCAGAAGAGAACGCGCATGCCCAGTACACTGTCTTGAAGTTAGCCGCGAAGTAGTGAAAAGGCTGAACATTTTGCAGCTGGCGCAAACTTAGAAACATGAAGAAGAGGGATACGGTGGTCGTGTTTCTAACTTAGTGCCAGTCACAAAACTTCCAGCAAAGAAAAGCCCCAACACGCCCAAAGACAAGTTCTACAGTCAAAAGGTGCCGCAATGCAGCTGGGCACGCATTTAAGCGGCCTCTATAATTTTGCTTGGTACCGTATGTGTACGAAAAGCAAGGTGTCGCATCATCTTTGCCAAACAGCGCGAAAAACGAGGAAAGATAAACGAAACACACAAGAAAGAGCGCCAAACTCGATAGTAGATGGTGTCTCCTCGTTTTTCGCGCTCTTTCGCAAACATGAAGCGCTATACCAACAGACTCGAACCCATATGCACCTTTAAAGATGTAGTACGCGAGCTCTGGCCAAACTGGGCAAAAGTGCATGTCTGCGCGCCATATATCAGCAGGTGCACTGCAGATTGCGACAGTGCGTCGGCATATCCGGTTGACCAATCGCGATATTCTGATGATTGTCTAATCACCGACTCTAGTGGTAAGGCGGATAAGTCAGCCGGATGGATCATCTGGATTTGCCGACGCACTCTCGACATGTCAATCAATCAATCAATCAATCAAAAGAATCTTTAAGTGTTGCAAAATATATAAATGCATTGGGGTTAGTATATACAGAAGGAGGTCCCATAGCACAAGGCTTAAAGGGGACCTCCTGTTAGAAGTATAAATGTTGATAAGTACAACAAAATGGCAACTAAAAGCGGCAAGTAATTTCGATAGGAATAAAAATAACACAAACATGCAATATGAATACCAGTAAGAATGGCAACAAACCAACACTTGTGCTGGTAAAGAGCACGTTCGCAAGCAGTTTTCTTCAGTCTGGTCACAGCTCGCATGATCCATTTTACGTTAGGGTCACCTACATAATCCTTAGTGCACAATTCCACTCAGACTTTTTTTGGGGGGGACCAGTAAACGCGGCGTGTCGAACAGCCGCTTGTTGTAGCGTTCAGGTCTCTCTGACTGTGCAACTGAAAACGGTACCATTTACCAGAGAAACCAGTCAATATGCCCGGAGTGGAGCTATCCAGCAATGTTATATTTAGTCAATTATTATAACAATTGACAATCTGTTGTTGTTTCTCTTTTGGGCGACAGGGGTGAAGATGTGTTCTTCCTGTACCGCCTGTCATCGTACTGGAGTTCCTTTTTTGCCATGTTAGCTACGGTGGCTCTCAGCCTCGTCCTCAGCATTTTCCTAGGTGAGAACAACAACGTCCACCAACTTCTATCTTCATGGCCTCTCAACACAACAAATAAGAAATAACATTGCAAGAAAATAAACAGGCCCATGCATGCCATCAAAGTAGCATCTTCACTGTTCACTTCTCATTTCATGCTAAAACTTTTTGAACTGTTCTTCAGAATTGTACAGCCATCTAGTTTCCCGAAATCTGGTAACACAGACTTGTTTTTCAAAAAAAAAAACATGTTCCAAAGCAGTCTCGCGTCGAAATTGCAAGTTCTAAATGGCCGTTGGTACAGCTGCCGAACGTTCTATGCAAACAGAAATTACTGATTTTTCATTTGCAGTGAGCTACATTTATTTGAATATATCTTTTTGTTGAAAGCAAATGAGTGTATAGGAGATGCCACGTTATTTCTATTGAAGTGTACTGATTATTAGTTTAATAGGAAAGAAAAGTGATCTGGCTGCTGGTGTTGACGAAATTCACAGCTGCGACCTTTCAATAGCTGAAGTACATTGCCGGTTGTTTTCCCATACGCGTTCTTGGTAAAGACAATTCGTTGCCTAGTGATTTGGTTCATAATGACGAACTAGAGAACACTAGTTAGGTACGATGCTTGTTCCTGTGCCTGAATTTGCTACCCGTGCGTAATTTGCGCTATGTGGTTTACCGCATTCTTATTTATTTGTGTACGTGTGTAACACTTGGATCGTTAACGAACGCCACTCACGACCAAGGCGATGAATTCAATTGACAGAGTGTGCCACATAACGCGATGTCTTTTTCCGAGATCGTACAGCTGACGAGATCGTACAGCTGATACCTAAAGGCTTTGGTTTATGCTGTAACTATGTTATTTGGTTTTGAAATCCATGGGACAAGCACATTTCAACATACTATATGTGTCGAATGCCATATTTGTACTGGCTCCTCCCCGCCGTGTTTGCAATTCCTACTTTGTCTGTTGTGAAACTGGTCCAGCACACTGCTGGTCTTAGGTTTATTTTAAGTCTGTAATTACTGTCCTCTGATACTTAGAGCAAGTTTGAGATACTTGTGTATGCAATTGATGCAGGACATAAGGATGAGCTCAGAAAAAGCATGCCTCTCTCGAGTCCCGCTTTCCTGCGACTATGGGCAAGACTGCGACTCCTCCCAGATGAGACGAAGGTGAGCCTAGTTGTGTTTTTTTGCCATTAAAAAAAATGCGCATAAGCTTTTTGCAACAGTTTCAGCAAACAATTCAAGTGGCACGGATCAAGTGAATTTTATCACCTCATTCATCCGTCTTTTCACGTTGACCAATCCAGCGCACTACTACATCACAGCGCACTACTGCCTAGATGTGGTCACTACTGCCCAGATGAATCAAAAATTTTCGTTTGCTAATTATTGTCTCTGCTCTTGTTCTTGAAATCCTCTGTTCTTCTTTGTGCAATACCTATAACAAGCGAAACAATGAATTATTGTGGTGACTTCTCGTAGACTACCAGTGTTGGCCATCTGTCTGTATATTAATCGAAAGGTCATAGTACACATCCGTCAAGACATCTGAATCTCCACAAATACGCACTTGTACTGCGTTCTTGTGCCTCCATTGTGTTTATTCCTTGCGCTACTCTCCTATATGGTGAGCTGCACTCCAACACAGTTAACCGAGAATGTTAGTGAAGTGGAAACACCCTTCCCTACACGCCCGGTTTCAGGCTTGGCACCACTATAGTGCCTCATCAAAGAAAACTCTCTCTGCGCCCTTCTTGAGGTGTCACATTAGTGGGGCTGCAACACCCTTGCCTACAAGCTTCAGCACTCCACAGTTTTCATTGACGTTGTACGGCGGTGCTATGGTGTCATTTTTTTTGTTGTTGTTGTTGTTGTGCGCTTCATCGGTATCATAACCTTCTCTCTGCTTACCCGAAGCATATAAACCCTTTCAGATCTTGTCACACATACCACGAAACACTAAGTTACTCATCGCATGTTTTTGCAGCGGCCAGGTGCAGAAGCCATAGTGAAATCCGAAGACGTCTGCGAATCTGAAGAGGAAGTTGTCACCATGATCGCAGTCACGAAACTACCCGGCGGTCATCATTTGCGTGAAGACGGCATCTAGCCACTTAGCTGAAGAATTGATTTAGTCACGCTCATAATTTGTAGAGCTGCAGTTTTCCTAGTTCTCCTAAATTTAGGTGTCGTGCGCAACTAGACCTGATAGAGGTTGCTGCAGCAGCAATTCGTGACGATGAGTGATTACAGTCACTGCATAATCGCGCTTAGAACTCGTCATCCATGAACTAACATTTCTATGAGTGGCGTGAGCTACGACCACGACATGGCCTCATCGTCACCGTCTTGTCTCTCGTTTCTCAACATTATCAACTTCCGATCGTGGTGTTGCTCATATTTGTGCTTCTGTTGGAATGGCTATGGAACTGTGAACAACTGGTTGTATAAAACATAACCAACTGTTCAACATATGTCTCTGCAAAGAAACATTTGTACTTGTCGCTAGCGCCATTTTCTTACATTTAAATCTATAACAAACGTACAACACATGTCACCTTCTCCCTGTATGATTCGCATAACATCGATTCCCAAGGTACGTAGGATCTGCCTGTTCTTTTCTTCTTCGAAATCTCGGAAGATGTTCATCCGAGTCTTTCTGGAGGAAATTCAGCGTATATTAGTATTCAATGTTTGTTTTAGCTTTATAACTTGTAGCAATGTGATATTATTAACCAAATTTGCATAAATATGCATTTCATTGTTGCTGATGTTCATTTTTTGCCATTCATTCATCTTTTTTTTAACACTTGCTGTTTATTTACCCTGTCAATATGGCTGATGTGCACTGCTGTAAAATCGCCAAAGTGCATTGATGAAATATAGCTTCTTGGTCAAAAATAAAGGACCTGCTGTTATTATTACTATTCTCAATACTCCCGAATCTCATATGAAACAATATCTGAACAGGAAAACATGCGAGTATTGCGTCTAAGAAAGAAAACGTGCGCTTAAATTTACCCTTCTTTTCTTCGAACACACCCACAAAATTATTTTATAGGTCTGAAATGTTTGAACGCTCACACTCATATATAAATGAGTACAAATAGTACTTGGATACAAAACACCTACGTTTACTCGTATTGCAACCTTAGAGCTTGGTGTAGTAGAAACAAGAATTTACGAGCTGAGTAAGACTTGTGGAGGCGCACTCCTTTTGACTGCCGACTCTCAGCTTTTAAAAGACCCTTTTAACGTAGAAAACGGTTATTCGAAACAGAAATTTATCATATAAATCCGTATTGTCGAAAAATTACCAGAGAGTGTTTATCGATTTTTTTTCGAGATATTCCGAAAACATGGTGCCCTAAGTATATAATACAAAATACAAGAGAATACTGCGCCACACTGCCAAAACATGGCAAAGAACCGTGTTAGTGTAAGCTCCGCCTCTGAATTAATGAGCACATACCTTAAATCTGCAGTGCTCTCCTGATAAAGTCGTATTCCGAAAGTCTATTTCCAATTCTTCAGAAGCAGGATTTTTGTGTGGTTGCTAAATTTGGAGCAACTGCTTGATTTCCTATTTTCCTTTAAATGTTCACTTAGCGTACGCCACTGTGGCACCATTGATTTCAAAATGTTTTATCTTTAGTTTTGAATACTTTGCTACTCAAACAGCGCACAAAGAGGACAGCTTTACCTATATGCTGGTTTCCTGTAGCGATGACGCATTTGTCGCACGTGAGAAAGCGGTTGACCAAGAAAATCGCACTAATATATATGACATTCACACCAGATAAGCAGTATCCACAAGAAAGCGTGATATCACTGTACACATTCCAAAACCTCTGGGTTTGTGAGCGTATACACCGTGCTTTTAACTCCACAAACTGGGAAGTGACATTTCACGAAATACAGGTCACAACACAAGGCAGTTGAGCCCTGTTATGCCTGCGAGTCCACAGCGAACGGCCGTGCCTCTGAAAAAGGCAATCTGTGTCAAGGCCAGCCGCGAGCCCGCTTGACGCGATCAACAACTCAACGGCGTCAGCACGCCACGGCGCCTTTCTGTCGGCGCCTCTCTGGCGCCCACGTGCAGTGAGTCAGCGCACGTGCCAGCGAGTAAACAACGGGCGTCTTCATGTCTGGGGGTCTGACGCATTGCGCGGTGACCCCATTGGAGGAGTCTGCCCTGACGACCAGCGGCGCTTCTGGTTGGACATTTGAGTTGGACCCGGTGCATATAAAAGAAGCCCTGCGGCGCGTCGCGATCGGCGGTCCTAGGGAAAGCTGACATGTGTGTCAGAGCGGACCCCTTTGACAGAGACCCGTTTGAGAGCAGACCTATGTGTTGAGAGGAGAGCTCGGCTCTTCGAGTCTCTGTCGGCCCCAGTGCCGAATTTGTAACGCCTCTGTATATATGCTGTACATAAACCTTGTTTAACTCACCGTCGTCTCGTCCGCTCGTCTATCAGCTCTGCGCAGAAGCAGCCGCGAGCTGAGAAACCTACGCTACCAAAACGGCTGGTGACCTTCCCAGCGGAGTTCGAAGCAGTGGCGCCTTCGGGACCGTGTTGGCGTCGCCGTCGTTCGCAACAGTGGTGGCAGCGGTGGGATTCGAGGCGCCCTTCGTAACGTCGTCGGAGGTGCGTTTCGCAACAGTGGTTGGCAGCTGCGGGATCGGCCGGCGTCAGCGACATCGATGCGGTGAGTGCCTGATGTTTTCCCCTCAGTTCACCAGACTACTCTAGCTCAGGTTGTAGTAGTTTAGAGAAGGGCTGTGTGAAGCATTGAAGTGAGTTTTGATCGTTTCAAGCCAAGTCGAAGCGCTTTGAAACCAAAGTTAATGCGGAGGGGGCAAACACGGGAGTGTGAAAAATTGCTTGCGCGTCTTGCTAGTAGGCTTATAGTGGGTACGGCAAGTAGATTCTTAACAGGGGCAAACAGCAAGAGGCTAGTGTGAACGATGGAGAACCTAAAGTGAAGGAACTCATCGAAATTTGTGAGGAACTCGGCATTACTTTGGGCCGTGCGAAAAGAAAGCAAGCGATCCTTGAGATCATGAAGCATGAGGGAGTGTCGGCTGAGGAAGTCGATGAGGCCTGGGCGGATATCAAAGCACGCCGCGAGGAGGCTGAAAGGCGAGAAGTAGAAACTCGTGAACGTGAAGAAGCTGAAAGGCGCGAACGTCGCGAGCGCGAGGATGCCGAGAGGCAGGAGCGCCTCGAGTTGAAACGAATAGAATTGGCAATCCTACAGTGTTCGCAGGCGCCTAGCGTAGCTTCTCCAACAGTTCAGGTCAGCGCTTTTAGAATTCGGGACCAACTGCCACCGTTCGAAGTAGGCGAGGACATGGCGAAGTATCTCGTCAAGTTTGAACACGTCTGTGAGCGAAACGCTTTGGAGCGGTCTCTTTGGGCGCGGAACCTGTTAGCTCTTCTTCCCGGCGAAGTGTCCGACGCGATAACTTGCTTGTCGAGGGAAGCGTTTGAGAGCTATGACGAGGTTAAGGAAGTGCTCTTGAGACGTTATAAGTTGTCACCCGAGGCTTTCAGGCAAAGGTTCCGGTATGCTAAAAAGGGGATTGAGTCACACGTTGACTTTGCGTTTCGTCTTAAAGCCGATTTAATTGAATGGCTGAAGGGCGAAGGTGTTTATGACGACCGCGATTAAGTGGTGGAATGTGTTGCATTGGAACAATTCCACCGCTGCATCGAGGAGGATGTCAAACTTTGGCTGCAGGACAGACTTGGTGAAGTACAGCTAAACAAGGCAGCAGAGTTAGCTGAGGAGTATTATACTCGCCGAAAGTTGCATAGCAGGGCAGTGCGCGTGGAAAAGGATGAAAGGAAAGAGGGCTTTTCAAAGAAACCTGATCAACGGAAACCCGCTCCGCACCGTAATTTCAAGAAGGACCCGTCTCTTACGAAGGACACTGTAGGGGAGGGACAAACGGAAGCAGAGAAATCGAGTGAGGTTTCTACCACACGGGCATTTGAATCGGAAAACAAACGGAAACCGCTAATCTGCTACAACTGCAAAAAGGAAGGACACATCGCGAGAAACTGCCAGGAAAAGTTTGTCTTCGCAACGATCCGAGAATCAGAAAAAAACATGCGGTTGTTGGAGCCGTATCTCCAAGAAATTAGGGTGAATGAGAAAACGTGCCGAGCACTTAGAGACTCAGCGGCAACCATGAACGTTGTCCATCCTTCATTGGTGTCTCCGGATGACTTTACAGGAGAACGCGCGTGGATCAGGCAAGTCGCCGAGGAGCAGAGTGCTTGCCTACCAATAGCTACGGTTGTCATTGAAGGCCCGTTCGGTAAGCTTCGCACCGAAGCGGCTGTGTCTGCCGCGCTAAACGATCGTTTTCCTTATCTTTTCTCCAACAACTCAGAGCAGCTTCTCAAAGAGCAGGGTAAATCGTTCTTCCCCAACTTAGCGTACATGGCCCTCACGCGATCGCAAGCGCGGAAGCTTTCGCGGAAAGTTGACCTTGTTCAATGCGGTGAACTCTCAAGTGACCTTGTCAGCGGGTCGACGGAACCCCAGAAAGGAAATTTTCCGCGTGAGTCATGCGAGCAGTCACGCGAGCGGCCCGTCGCCGAAGCGACCGGCGCGGTATGCGTAGCAAGGGGAGACGACATGGCGCCATTGAGTCAGAGCGAGAGGGCTGCAACGCTCTCGCCTGTAGCGGAAAGTTGGAGGGAGCTGTCGAGGGTTGATCGAGAAACGCCCATTCGAGAGCAGCGTGCGGACCTCTCGATTAAAGCGCTAGGGGAAAGCCACATGAACGCGGCACAAGTGCTGTCGAAGGAGCACTACGAGAAATCGGCGAATAAGTGTGCTTTTGAAGTTGATAATCAGGTAATGCTGCTGCAGCCGTCCAAAAGGAACAAGCTTGAGGTTGATTGGGAAGGGCCTGCCAATGTAATATCTAAGCTTTCCGATACGAATTATGAAGTGAAATTAGGAAGGCGGCCGAACAAAATTTACCACAGTAACTCGAAAGTAGCCGTAAATCTGCATTTAAGTGCTTCAGAGGAAGAGGAAGCAGAAATTTTTAGTTCTAGTGATATAATCGAAAGGGGATCGGAGGTAACG